GTGAGAAGTAGAATTTAGAGCATTGAATATCCGGTGCAGGGGTCAGGAGTAGACTGTACAACATAGAGTATACAGTGCAGGGGTCAGGAGTAGATTGTACAACATAGAGTATACGGTGCAGGGGTCAGGAGTAGAATGTACAACATAGAGTATACAGTGCAGGGGTCAGGAGTAGAATGTACAACATAGAGTATACAGTGCAGGGGTCAGGAGTAGAATGTACAACATAGAGTATACGGTGCAGGGGTCAGGAGTAGAATGTACAACATAGAGTATACGGTGCAGGGGTCAGGAGTAGAATGTACAACATAGAGTATACGGTGCAGGGGTCAGGAGTAGAATGTACAACATAGAGTATACGGTGCAGGGGTCAGGAGTAGAATGTACAACATAGAGTATACGGTGCAGGGGTCAGGAGTAGAATGTACAACATAGAGTATACGGTGCAGGGGTCAGGAGTAGAATGTACAACATAGAGTATACGGTGCAGGGGTCAGGAGTAGAATGTACAACATAGAGTATACGGTGCAGGGGTCAGGAGTAGAATGTACAACATAGAGTATACGGTGCAGGGGTCAGGAGTAGAATGTACAACATAGAGTATACGGTGCAGGGGTCAGGAGTAGAATGTACAACATAGAGTATACGGTGCAGGGGTCAGGAGTAGAATGTACAACATAGAGTATACGGTGCAGGGGTCAGGAGTAGAATGTACAACATAGAGTATACGGTGCAGGGGTCAGGAGTAGAATGTACAACATAGAGTATACGGTGCAGGGGTCAGGAGTAGAATGTACAACATAGAGTATACGGTGCAGGGGTCAGGAGTAGAATGTACAACATAGAGTATACGGTGCAGGGGTCAGGAGTAGAATGTACAACATAGAGTATACAGTGCAGGGGTCAGGAGTAGAATGTACAACATAGAGTATACGGTGCAGGGGTCAGGAGTAGAATGTACAACATAGAGTATACAGTGCAGGGGTCAGGAGTAGAATGTACAACATAGAGTATACGGTGCAGGGGTCAGGAGTAGAATGTACAACATAGAGTATACGGTGCAGGGGTCAGGAGTAGAATGTACAACATAGAGTATACGGTGCAGGGGTCAGGAGTAGAATGTACAACATAGAGTATACGGTGCAGGGGTCAGGAGTAGAATGTACAACATAGAGTATACGGTGCAGGGGTCAGGAGTAGAATGTACAACATAGAGTATACGGTGCAGGGGTCAGGAGTAGAATGTACAACATAGAGTATACGGTGCAGGGGTCAGGAGTAGAATGTACAACATAGAGTATACGGTGCAGGGGTCAGGAGTAGAATGTACAACATAGAGTATACAGTGCAGGGGTCAGGAGTAGAATGTACAACATAGAGTATACGGTGCAGGGGTCAGGAGTAGAATGTGCTTGTGTAGATATACACAAGTGATTTTTATGGGGAGAGTCTTTCACAAACTTATACCAGTGAACGGGTTCTATTCCAGGGCGATAGATCACCTTCCCCAGGAACTGGGCACTGCCAGGAGACAGTCCAACAAACTGCTCCAAATTACATCCAGAAGCATCCCGGAACCCCCATTCTTCTGAGGGACACCAGAGGGGAGAATTTTCTAAACCTCAGAGGAGATGTATGCACTCACCGGCCACTTTATTAGGTACACCTGTTCAATTGCTTGGTAATACATATTGCTAATCAGCCAATCACATGGCAGCAACTCTCAATGCATTAGGCATCTAGATGTGCTGAAGACGACTTGCTGAAGTTCAAACCGAGCATCAGAACGGGGAAGAAAGGGGAATTAAGTGACTGTGAACGTGGCATGGTTGTTGGTGCCAGACAGGCTGGTCTGAGTATTTCAGATGTGATTTTCATGTATAACCAAAAAAGAGAAAATATCCAGTGAGCGGCAGTTGTGTGGAGGAAAATGCCTTGTTGATGTCAGAGGTCAGAGGAGAATGGTCAGAGATCAGAGGAGAATGGTCAGAGGTCAAAGGAGAATGGTCAGAGGTCAAAGGAGAATGGTCAGAGGTCAAAGGAGAATGGTCAGAGGTCAAAGGAGAATGGTCAGAGGTCAAAGGAGAATGGTCAGAGGTCAAAGGAGAATGGTCAGAGGTCAAAGGAGAATGGTCAGAGGTCAAAGGAGAATGGTCAGAGATCAGAGGAGAATGGGCAGAGATCAGAGGAGAATGGTCAGAGATCAGAGGAGAGAATGGTCAGAGGTCAGAGGAGAATGGGAAGAGATCAGAGGAGAATGGTCAGAGATCAGAGGAGAATGGTCAGAGGTCAGAGGAGAATGGTCAGAGATCAGAGGAGAATGGTCAGAGATCAGAGGAGAATGGTCAGAGGTCAGAGGAGAATGGTCAGAGATCAGAGGAGAATGGTCAGAGATCAGAGGAGAATGGTCAGAGGTCAGAGGAGAATGGTCAGAGATCAGAGGAGAATGGTCAGAGATCAGAGGAGAATGGTCAGAGGTCAGAGGAGAATGGTCAGAGATCAGAGGAGAATGGTCAGAGATCAGAGGAGAATGGTCAGAGGTCAGAGGAGAATGGTCAGAGGTCAGAGGAGAATGGTCAGAGATCAGAGGAGAATGGTCAGAGATCAGAGGAGAATGGTCAGAGGTCAGAGGAGAATGGTCAGAGGTCAGAGGAGAATGGTCAGAGATCAGAGGAGAATGGTCAGAGATCAGAGGAGAATGGTCAGAGGTCAGAGGAGAATGGTCAGACTGATTTGAGATGATAGAAAGGCAACAGTAACTCAAATAACCCCTTGTTACACCCGAGGTCTGCAGAATACCATCTCTGAACGCACAACACATCCAACCTTGAAGCAGATGGGCTACAGCAGCAGAAGACCACAGCGGGTGCCACTCCTGTCGGCTAAGAACAGGAAACGGAGGCTACAATTCGCACAGGCTCACCAAAATTGGACCATGGAAGATTGGGAAAGCATTGCCTGGTCTGATGCGTCTCGATTTCAGCTGCAACATTCAGATGGTCGGGTCAGAATTTGGTGTAAACAACACGAAAGCATGGTTGGAGGCTGGTGGTGGTGATGGTGTAATAGTGAGGGGGATAGTTGGCACACTTTGGGCTCGTGATGCTATCATGTCAATATGGACCAAAATCTCTGAGGAAAGTTTCCAGCACCTTGTTGAATCTATGAAGAATGAAGGCAGTTCTGAAGGCAAAGGTGGTGCAGCCCGGTGCTAGCAAGGTGTACCTAATAAAGTGGCCATGTGAGTGTATATTTCCATTGACTCCTTACCCTAATCTCCCATTCTTCAGTCTTTCCAGGGGCCAGGCCATTAAGGTTCATGTTGCTGATGCATCACTCTCACAGCTAGATGCTCCTCTTTATCCCTTCACTCTCTCAGGTTGTCTTCAAGGCATGGTAAGAAAACAATGAATCCACCGTGTGTGTGTGATGCAAAAAAGATCAGTTTAAACTGAGTTGTTCCTTACATCAGGAGCGCGCTTCCCCCCGTTCTTGTTCTGCAGCTTCCATTAAGGCACGACAGAGCAATACATTCACATCGCAGCATGAATAATGTTAATATTACAATTCCCATTTCTAGCTAGACAGTGCAAAGATGTCCTCTGTGGAGACCATGTGTCCTTCTAGTGCGGTGTAGTCAGCTCTCCGCAGTCCTCTATGGCAGACAATAGGATGGAGAACAAAGCTCCGACTGTTCTGCAGGGTGGCCTTGTCTGACCTTCTTCTACCTAGGCAGAACTTCTCCTCCCTCTGAAGCATCATGTATCTGTATTGTCAGTGCCTAGCCCACAGAGCAGAACTATGGCAGCCATTTTGGAGTAGTCTGAAATTCGTTGGGTTCCATTGCTGATAAACTGTTCGGGAAGAAATGGGCCCTTAGCTGCTGAAAGATAGTTTGTGCAAAATAAAAGGTCAATACTGCCATATATCAGCTGAAGAGTAAAATACAATGCTTCGGGACATCCTAAAACATTTAATGTGAAAATGGCTTAATGTAGCTTAAAGGGGTTCTAAACCCTCCGGTTGTTTTTGCCTATATCTACTGCTAGCATGCGGTAGCTATAGGCAAGAAGTGTAAAAAAAAACAAAAAACACTTAAAATCATTTTAAACTTACCTCGTTATCGTGGCTCGCTCACGCGCCGAGAATCAGGAACTGCTCGTACGGTCGCAAAGGATCTTGGGGAGGGCGCATGCGCAGTTCCGATTCTCGGCCGGGAGACGAGGAGAGACGCAAGGCAAGTCTATGGACGCGTGCACCCGCCTGCAGACACCTCTGGATCGGAGAGACAGAGCAGTCAGCGCTGGATCGGAGTGACGTCACACCGCTGGAGGGACAGATGAAAACATCCGGAAAGAAGAGGAAGACCAGAATAAGAGACATCATTTAAGGTAAGTGCTAACATTTACATGGGGGGAGGTGAAAACATTTTTTTGCCTTTAATATCACTTTAATGTACCATAATGTGCCTAAAACTCAATCAATTGCCTTAATAACTTTTGGTATGTTTTATCAAATTACCCCAAATCTTCTGAATATGCTGGCATCGATAGAGTCGTGTAGTATGGTAAGTTTGGGGGAAATTGGTTAACATCTAAATTGTATTTTGTACGTTAAGCCACATTAAGCTCCCCAAAAAACAAGCTTAATGTCACTAATTTGCCTTGTGGGTAACTAAAATCCATGAAACTTCCAGGATAGGTTTGGGAAGCTGAGCACTTGGGTTGTGCAAAGTTTCAAGGCAATTGATTGAGTTTTAGGCACATTATGGTACATTAAGCCATTTTCACATTAAATGTTTTAGGATATCCCAATGCTTCTTATTGCGCAACTACACAGAAGGTAGCACCGTTAATGTGTGATGTGTTACACGTGTGACCATTATGCTTTATATCCTGGGATCGTTGTCATTGCTACAACACACTACCCCTGACCTTAACCCTAGAGAGGACAAACAGCCGAAAATCCCATAAAGGTCCCTTCCCTTCCCTATGTTTTCCTGCTGGCAATGCCACATAAAAGATGTACAATATGGGTCCTTCAGTAATGCTGGTTTTGCAGAAACAGATGAAACTGGTGTGAGATGTTTGACATTCATTAGTTAAAATGAACTAAAGAGGACCTGTTTCTGAGCTGGCTTGTAGGTTTGACCAGTGACCTATTCTAGTGCCGCAATAGGCTGTGGCGATGTTTGTTGGTGATTGACTTTGCCTTGGCATCCATGTGCCCACTATATTCTCCTCAGCTTTGTAGTTCTGGATTCCGCACAGAAACGTGTATTAGAGGCATAAATTCTGGTGAACCTCCATTAGGTCTTGATGAACGCAGTGTACGAATCAGGTCTCCAGTCCACTTCCAATCACATATCAGCAATTAGGAAGAACTTCACGCGGCTCTGATCGCTGTAATTATTCGCTAACAGCCGGGAGAGGGAGTCGTGTTGGCAGCCAGATTGCAGATATTGCATCTAAACGGTGGCACTTTGCAGATTATGTATTTCACTGATAAGAAGCCTTTCTGCAATAAAAAGAGAATCGCTAATGGCTGGAACAATCCTATTTGTATCTACATAAAGCTTAACGTTTCTATGTATCACCCTCCAGACCCCAGAAATTCTTTGACTGCATGTTCACCCCAGCCGCATCACCTTGTCCAGCCAATCACGTGTACCTAGAGGGGTGAGGGGAAGGATGTAGAGGGTGGGGAAATAACACGCTGAGAAAGTCAGTGTTCATAAATGTCCACCAGGTCTATACATACACCTGAAGTGAATCCTTCTTATGTACTATGCTTCTGGCACCTTGGTTCTCAACTGGTGGGCTGTGACCCAGACGTGGGTCGCGACCCCATGTTCAGTGGGTCGGTGCGTGCCTTCCTCAGTCACCCCCTTTTGCAGCACTGCCAGTTCTTAAACCATTCAAAATATGCTGCCCGGTGCAGAGTGTGAGCTTGAATGGGCTGGGGCTATGGCCGTGGGGGAGCGTCATCCATGCATAGAGCTCCCTCACGTGTCCTGTGGAGGTGCCTGGACAGGAGTGACGTCACATTCTGGCTCCCGGCACCACTACAGGGCACACAAAGGGAGCTGTACAAGCAATGCCCATATGGATAGAGCTCTGTCACAGCACAGCAGCCCACACTGGACCCCGGGCTGAGGATCCACTCCAGTTCTGGTAAGGTATGGAGACTGGGTGGATCTTTTAAAAGGCACCCCAAACGCACCTCCCACCCACAGTTCGATTGCCCGCATCGGAACACATGGAACTGCAATGCTGTGCGTTCCATCGCAGTGGGACTTTGGTCGCGACTTAATGAACAAGGACACATGTGGGTCCTCAGGCTCCACAGGTTGAGAACCGCTGTTCTAGCAGGACTGCACGGGTCCTATGACCGTCATTATGAAAATGTGCAAACGGTGTGCCGCAGGTTTGTCTGTAGGGATGGGGTTTGGCACCTTCCCATGTTGCTCACAAGAGTAGAACCTGGTTATGGCTTGTCTGCTGTCCACTCTAGGTAACACAGTTAATAAAATGGAATTTTAAAAACACAGCACTATTCCCCCTTATTCAAAGTTACGTGCCTCAGTATATTCACATTCATCTGGTACACTCATTTAAAAACGTTTCATCAGTTGTTTACATGAACAATTTCCTACATAGTTACATAGTATTTGAGGTTGAATAAAGACATTAGTCCATCAAGTCCAACCTATTAGGATCTCATTCTAGGAGTACCTGTACCCCTGTATATTACCTGTACCCCTGTATATTACCTGTACCCCTGTATATTACCCGTACCCCTGTATATTACCT